CATCAGTGTGGGAACTTCATTGCCAGACTACATAGAGTGAGGTGAACAGACAAATGCATGGGCATGATGGAGCTATAAGCCTATCAACTTTCTATAAAATAATAAAAGGATGCTTATAAAATGGTCTTTGAATCAGCATGGCTAACATGATGCTTTGTGGAGCCTGAAGTTATTGTCAGTGATGATTTGGAGGTAAGGAAAATCATCAGCAGAAAGCAAATCATTTGACAGTTTATAAACATATATAAAAAGACACCATCAATATTCATGGTTTTGTTGATATGACTGTTGCTTTCACTACTATAACTCTGGTGCAAAGGCCCAGTGTTGTTACAGTTTCAGTTTCCTTCAGTTCCTCCATTCAGATTCTGGCATTATACCTTAGAATGAGTCACCACTTCCATGTAGGAGTATTTCCTGACTCGTCATTTGCATCCTTATGCTCTATTGATGCTGTATAACCTATGGTGCTGGAAACGTGTAACTAAAGGGAGAATGCAATCCTAAACTTGTTGGTTGAAATATCGAACCCGAATTCCTAGTGTCCATGTTTTAAACTACGTTCTTTATGATACCTTTCCAAAATACCAACGTTCGTTGGTCTTCATACATTGTCTAGTTTGAAGTATGCAGTTCTGGAAGTTCGATTGTTTCAGACACTGGCTTCCTCTACCTCTTCAAAGAGGCGATGGGATGTCTGAAGCATAATTTTTAGAATCTTATGTCTTAAATCCTATAATGGATGAAGTCCAAATAATGTGCCATGATTTTGTTTTATGCGTTATTTAATATTTTGTGGAGAATATCCACTGCTTATGTTCTTTTGTCTGTCAGAGCCCATGTTCCAGTTGTGCACTGTATATAAAAGTAGCTTAGAAGAAATTACATACATGTAACCTGTTTGCCTGCATATGCATACGATACGATGCTTTCCTAACAGGGGGATGAAACTCAATGCTATTGGCGGGTAACACAGCCAGCGTGACGTCATTAACGGCCCTGTGAAACTCCCATGTTATTGATTGGCAACATGGCCGCCATGACACCTCGGTGAATCGCTCCATCTATTTTCAGCTTACATGACTAAATTAAAAATGACCTCCAGGGCCGAGAGCACAATCGGTTAGAAGGTATGCTACCTTAGCAACTATTTTGAGTGCTCCCCCCTCGCCCCCCTAAAAATGCTTTTTTCGCTACTAGCAATAAATACTTTTTGATATCTTGTACTGCAGTCTCTCTTTCCTTCTGGCGTTCCCACTAATAACCTATATGCATTCCTCGCCTCCCCTTTCGTGCTACATGCCCTGCCAACCTCATCCTCCACGACTAGTGATATTGAACACAGTTCAAAGTATTCATTTCCCCACCAACCTATTTCCATTTTTGAACTGTGTTCAATATTACTTGTCGAGGAGGATGAGGTTGGCAGGGCATGTAGCACGAATGGGGAGGCGATGAATGCATATAAGATATTAGTGGGAACGCT